TTGAAGCTTTATTAAAAAGTTATGGCAGTGATACGAAATTAAGAGGACAATAGCAGAATCACGGTTACTGCGATGTACATAGTACAGAAATAGATGATCAATATTTGCGCGATATTTATAAGATCGCGTACTGAATTGATACAAAAATTTAACGATGCATTTATTGAAATGAAACAAAATAATAACGAAATTCACAGAGTAATAAATTCTGTTTTCTGGTGTCAATCTTGCATTGCCATAAACGGTGGACGTTTTTAAGATGGAGTATTAGTTACTTCTTGCATAAACAGAGTAAACGTAAATATTGCTGATCTATCGCTGTATTATATCGCTGCAACCGCGAGTCTGCTCTTAATTTTGTATTATTGCCATAACTTTTTAATAAAGCTTCAAAAGACCTATGTTTGTATAACATTTTTTTCTAATTTCAACTCATGGAATATACTGACAACGTTTGGCCGTTAAAACCTGGGACACCCTGTATATGTGACTAATAGCTTTAGAGAAACTTATCAGATCCGTACATTCGATTCAATTTTGACAGGGCTGCAATTATCATTGTGATTTCTAATTGATAACTCTATAATTGTTTGCAGCGGAACAAATCTTTTTACCTTTCAAAAGATCTTCAGTCCCTTAATAATTTTTTTAGATTCGTCAAGATTTTGTACTTTCACTAATTCAAAAATTTATTTATTTATATATGTGGGAAAACCTTTTTATACAGAGATACCATAAATTTGGCAGTACGTTCGATACTACATACATTACATAGAGTACAAAGAATCAGAGGTTACCTTAGTGTTATTTGTAATTCTAAAGGGTCTAGCCTAATAAGCATTGCAAAAGAACCACTAAACCAAATGAAACGTGTGACACGTCGATTGAAAGAGATCCCTAGGAAAACCATTTTCGCAAAGTTTTAGCCCTCTACCCCTATTATTAGGGTAGTTGTCGACCTAAACATGATTTTTAATTTATGCTTCCTTTCTTTTACTCTGTCCTGTAATAAATTGTGAAAAATATTTAGAATATATTTAATTAACATTTACTATACATAAATGCACAGCTTTGTTTCTAAACTCTTGTCCTACAATATTTGGTCCTCTCACATAAGTTCATGTCGAAGGCGAAAAATATTTCAATGACAAAACCGAGGAAATTCTACAGCGGCGACATAAACGTCTTACCAAAAAAGAAAAAAAAGTGGAAAGAAAATTGTGGAATGGAAAGACGCTTACGTTTTCTTTTCTTTTTAATCAAATTTAAAGGTTCGTTGGAAATATTGATCTGAATTATAAAATTCAACATAAACTTATGGGACGACCTAATACTTCATCTAAAACTCCATTTCTCGAAATTATGTACGTTTGAGTCCTTGTTCGGGTCGCGTAATGTTCGATGCTTAATTGCCGAACCGGTACTTGATTTATTCAGTGTTTTATTTGCAAAAGAGTGATACTTGAGGTGATGTCGCCACGAGACTATCAAAATACTAATTTTCGTAAGACCAACTGCCAAGACTTCCAAAAAAGGACGCGCTTCTGCCTCGTTTCCTTAGTTTTATCCGCTCGGCCAGTTGCTGATTGGTGGCCGATTTCTTCTGGGGGTTGTAGGTGCTGACTCCTCATTGGAGGAGGTTCTTTAGGTGGGACGCAGCTCTTTCCAAGGGAAGGGGATTGTTGCTTAACATTAGAAAACCCCCATTTTTGGGTTTTTCCCAGGGGTTGCCGCGTAACTTTTCACCGCGTACGTGACCTCTCCACGGGGGGTACGGTACGCGCGAGAGGACCGGTACCTCGGTCTGGCGGCCAAGTGTAATTGAACAAGTGTATGACGATAATCCGGCAGACCGAGGGTTCGTCGCGATTTCTTGCGAGGCAACAGTCCTTTTACGATAACAGAATACGTATCGTCGCTTATATTGCTACTCGCAATTGAAGACAGTGTATAACTGAAGCAACAAAGGAAATGAAATTGAAATCGGTGTCTTCAAACGTGATGAAATATCCTAATTGCTTCACAGAATTAATTAAACGCTCTAGAAGAAACGATTATACGAATTACATTTTGCAACTAGCCGATTTGTTTTTTTTTTAATTTAAACGACTCACACCGATGGAAAAAAAAGAATCTTGAGAAATACTGACCTAGTGTTTCGACCATAAAACCACTCACCGTGAGTCGTGTGGCGTGCCTCGTACGAATTGTTTATCGCGACTTGTAACAGCTGTGTGCATGTTTCACTTTCAATGAATTCGCCTTTCCTCGGCAATCTCGTTGCTTTCCAGAGACGACGTTAGCCATCCTTCTAGACTCGCAATTATTGTGTCACGTTCGTTAAGGGAAGTTCTTTCGATTCATTCACGCTGAACTTTCATCGCGCTAATTGCACTTCGCTAATTGGCTGAAATTGACCAACTTTACTCGCGATTTTTCGCTTGATAAATGGTTATTTAACTTGTCACGTTGTTTCAAGATCATATTTCACGGTTCGTTAATTACAAGCATCGAGTGTTCGCGATACAGATAATTAGAATCTGAGCAGGCAGATCTTTCTTTGATAAGAAGGTATTTCGTTGAAATTGTCGCTCCTTATTTTCACACGAATTTTCACCTTGAAATTTGCATTTCTTTTTTCTCTTTTCTTACTTAGAAGTGAATCAACAGATTAATACGCTATGCAAGAAATTTTTTTGATCGATTGTGACCACTGATTCGTCGATTAATTGTTAGTGAAATATTTGATCGTAATTGTAACATTACATCTTCTACTGGTTACACTTTCGGTTCTGCGAAATTACATTTTATAAATGAGTCTGTAAATTTGAACGTTATAATTATCGCGTTAGTAGTTTATTAATGCGAATGGAACGGTTTGCGATTAGTATTCAGTATGATAATTATGGGAAATAGGTTGTTAAACAATTCTACACCACAAAACAATTTACATATAATCATACAAGATAATGTGCACATTATGAACTTTGTGGAACGGATCTCCCGTTTCTTTTGTGTATTGTTTACGATATTATAATGGAAGAACGATCATTGTTTTTTTAGGATACTGTTATTTTTTGAGAGACTTTTTATAAGTTATACACAATCCATGTTCCTTCAGGATTTTCTACTTATTCCTAGTGAAATAAAAGGATGTAGGATTGAAAAACAATAAAAATTATGTATATGTGTATGTATACAGTGACTCTTACTAATATTCGAACACTCTTTAGAACAGTATAACTTTCTTAAAATTGGACCAAAGGACTTGAGTTTCTTTTAGAAGTTAGAAGGATTAGTTTTCTAGATAACGTGTTCAAAGAATTTTAAAAAAAAAATTGCAATTTGTGGGAATCGCGAAGAAAATTGGAAAGATCACTTTTAACAAACTTTTTTATCTAAGCTTGTAATGAAAATTTAAAGCGTATGTTTTATAGATTTCTCTCTGCATGCTGAAAATTTCATCGAAATCGGAAACAAGCGATAGGCATCGAAAGCTAGAAGAATCTTCAAATTTATTAGTTATGGGCCGAAAGTCGTGAGAAACTGCAGTTTTCCCAATTTCCAACCGTTTGTGTAGCTCCTAGCAATGTTAATCGATTTCGATGAAATTTTCATTACGGACTCAAACAAAATAGTTGCAGAAAGTGACCTTTGCTATTTTCCTCGCGATTTCCACAAATTAGAATTTCTTCAAAAATTTTTTCACACGTCATCCAGTAAACTAATCCTTCCAACTTCTTAAAAAATCTCGAGTAATTTGGTCAAATTTATAAAAAGTTATACTGTTCTAAAGAGTGTCCGAATACTAACAAGAGTACAAGAATACTTTGAAAAAATTTCTATCTTTTAACATTTTAAAATAGCCGTAAATTAATAAGACATCTTACGTTCAGAAAAGTGCACACCTTCAGATGAAGTACTTACCTATTCAACTTTCAATTCATATTTAGCGGTTAGTAATAAATTCCATTCACAACAAAACTGTTATCAAGCTTACTTCTCTAATACATGTAAATATCTTACAATAGATTTCAAGATGCGGCTCTTTCTAGTTTGCATTAATATAATTTGTAATCCCTTCATTAAATCGTCTACTTCAAATTACAATTAATTCAATTCTCAAAAAAATTTTCTACTTGCTTTCATTTCTATACACCCAATACTAATATTTTATTCTTTTCTTTGACAACTGCATATAAATACATGTACGACTATATGTGTATATAGTGCGATGTATAATATATTTATATAATACGAAGATTAATAATACGTCGTTTTTTGCTATCAGTTCACAACGTATCGCATAATATTGGATTGAGCAGAAAATTCGTGCCGATTTTTAAGTAAATAAGTGAATTCTACGTTTTAAAGCAATAATTTCTTTACAAGATATGCACCGTTTTGTTCTATAACTTTTCGCCGTTTCCCGCCAATTTGATAGTTCCATTTTGTCAAAAAGTTCATTCCTAAAATTTCTTTTCAAGAACGAAATTTTGCAAATCATTTGTGATCAATTTTTTCCGATAGACTGCCTTCTCCTTAAACATTAAGCACTTACCAGCGGTATTTTTCCCTTTTTAGTAAATATTAATTTAGAGAAACGTCAAGTGTCGGTAGCCTACTCTATTTTCTTCCACTTTTAGAATACCATAACTCCGAGAAAAAGCTATTACCCAATTGTAACGAATAGATTTCCAAAAGTACGCGTGAAAAAATTATCCTTCTATCTTTTCATCGAGTTTCATTCGTCCTAACGTATTCGTCAAAAATCGGTCCGAACTTTCTGCTCGACCCGCTGTATTGAGAAAAAATTTTTCCTTTTTCAATTAGGAAATAAACGATGGGTAAGGTGTCACTATTGTGGAACGAAAGAAATACTATGAAAAATGTAATCCCTCCTCTCAAGAAGAATACATAAATTTCTCGAAGAATCTTCAGAATGAAGAAGATCAATTATCCAGCAGATTATTAATATTGCACATCAGTCTCCCGCAAAAGCGATCAAATGTGGTAATTAGTTATTCTGTAGCACTCGTGCGCTTATCTCGTGTTCCGAGAGAAAAGTCACTCGGTCCAGGAGACATGGTGCGAGACAGTACATTGGCTCTGTTTGCGCTTGTTAATCAGTTCAATTGAATAATGTATTAATACGTCGGGGTCATCACGAGGGGTTAATCGCAATGTCCACGCCGGACACGATGGACACCATCGATGAAGCGGAGCAGGCATGGCGTGAGTATTATTAGCATTTAGGACGACTTTTCTTCCTCGAATTCTCGTTAAATAGATATTTCAACGAAGTAGAGAACGTAAAACGCTCGATAGAAAAAAAGAAACCTGGTTCGAAGTGTCGAAGGTTAACGCAGCGACAGTTGAATTCTCATAATTTTCGTATATGTATATGTATATTTGAATAAATATCTATTGTACGTGCAACTTTTTTTTATTGGCAAAAGGTAAAATAGGAAACTACATTACAGTTTTTGGGAAAGTATTTTAGTGTAACATTTTGATCGATCTTAGCAATTTTCTTCGATTCGCGCGATTAAAACTTGAACTGAAGTAAATTCTGTGCAAAATGGCGACTCTTGGCTGCTGTTTACAGAGATCCTTAATTTGCAAAGTTCATTACCGTGACGCGTGGTACTGAAAATAATACAAAACCTTAACGTTACGCCTTTGTTTTTATTTTCTCTCGTACACCGCAGGGGATGAGTATTAATAACTTAAAACTACACTTTGCGAAGGAAAATATTCGAGCAGATCTTATTTTAAGGACTTACAATCTCATTTTTACGTAACACGTTAGAATCGCAACTAATTCAAGCTTCTGTTTGTATTTATTGTATCCGTGTAAAGAACTGTTTAATATCTGTACATATACGAATACATAAAGCAGAAATGCAAATTTTATTTAACAGATGACGAACGATGAAGGAAATGATGAGATAATGTAATTCGTGTTATGCAATACGCAGAATATCTCGGTCAGTGTGGTCACCAAGTGTACAATATCTCCGTTATTTTTAAAGATACGAGAAATTGGTTGGGAAAACAATTGTAAAGACTTAAGAAAGCCTGCATTGTGATAGAGCAATTAGGTCATGGTAATTTTTTTTACACATTTCAAGATCATTTCTGTGTCTTTAAATAGAACTACGTACCGTGAGTTTTCAGTTATTAATATAAAGTTCAATTTTTTATTAAAATTGAAGATTTTGCTACATTCGTCAGATTATTACCATTTTTACATCACCTTGTCATTTCGATGATAGTTCAAAATGATGTTTAGAAGATTGTAAGAATTGCTCTTGGAACATCATTCTAAACAATTTCACTTGAGAGTTTCATCCCCGTGAAAAAATCTAATAGCGTACAATGTCTGCACTTCGCCAAATTTATCGTTGTGGAAATTACGCGTATTACGTATAATACGCGATAATCAATTACCACGTTATGAATTGAACGGCTGTCACGTTGATACAATACGCGTAATCTCTCTGTTAAGAGAACATCGTCATTACCATTATTGCCAATTACCATTTTTCTGCGATACGTTTATTTCTAAAACATGGTGATATTTCAATAATTAATATACTTAAATCATCGTCTATCAAAGGAGTAGTACAATCATGGCGCAAAAATTACTTCGACGCAGAAGTTTTGTTCCACGATTATACTGTAATATTTAGTCTGCTAGTTATTGGGTCAGTATTTTAAAGAAATTTTAAGCAATTATTTTCATTAAAGTATTAGTAAACATGATAATTTGTCAGTATTTCAAGTAGATGGTCAGTGTGTGTAATAAAATGTTCTAATCTAAAAATTTTAATTTTCTTTACCAGAAAAGAAACGAATACAGACCGAATAAACAAAATTGTACTGACAAACTGCGATTTAATACTGACAATTAATTATCTATACCGACCAAAATATTCATTTTTACTGGCTGTTTATTTTCAAACATACTTACCATCAATTAAAACAAAATACTGACCAAATAAATAGAAGTGTAATATTTGTACCATTTGTACAATAAGTTACCGTTCATCTTACGCATTTTATCTTTTCTAATCACCTTGCACACTTTTTGAAAATACAAAGAAGCATTTTCTTCGTTGACCGGTTTGATTAATTTGTGAAATAATTAATGGTTTTATTTTCTTCCTTTTTTCTTCACTCTTCACGCACTAATGAATTATAGTACAATTTGCAAAGAACTGTGCAGAATGTACATGTAATTGTAGATATCGGTGTAACTTGAATTCATTATTTGTAACAAAAGCTTGCATGCTATTTGAAACATTCTTTCGTACTGTTTTGAAAATTAGCATAGAATGGATGTATTAGTGATGGATGATTATAAAAAATCGTGCTATCTCCAAATTTTGTTCAAAGTTTAAAAAAAAATGCAGCAGATTCGGTACTGCAAATGTAACATAAGTTCAACTCCGATGAAATCTGGGCTCCCGTTTTTGTCTTTCCACCAGAATCAAGTAATTTATTAACTTATACACTGCTCGCCAAAAAGGACATTGCACCATCTGAAAAACGAGATTGCACAAATCTGAAATGTACTTACATAGATTGTTTGGGGTGTTGAGAAGGAAAAACGGCTACAATTTGGTTAAAAAATGTCTTATTTATTTAAAAAGAAAAGGTGATTTGTTTCCTCAGAGTAGCTCGACTTCCAGATTTGTGCAACTTTAATTTCTGGGTGTTACATTTTTCTTTTTGGCCAACAGTGTATATTTCTACCTTTTACACCTGCATCCCTCATTTCCTTCTTGTCTCCGATTTGAAGCACAAATGGTGAAATCTTCGATACTAACATATCAGCATACACTATACGCCGTAAATATCGTTTCTTCGCACATATTATGCTCGATGCTGTTTGAAGAATGTTTAGTTGTCCTCTTTCCTCAGCTGTACGTCAGAAACCACGCTAATTAAACACTTATGTGGGATTCAAGTAAGGAAATACACTTTAAAGTGACGTAATATCGAAGTTTCAAGTTACCAAAATTTGAAACACCATGAAGAAACTTCCTGTCGTATGTTGTTACTGTTGTATGTTCAGATGAAGAATTTTGAACTGTTATTTATTGAAATATTTCCGACTTTTGGGTGCAATCGAAATTTTATTAAAGAATGAAAACAGATCAATCGTGAAAATAATTTCCTTATTGTCGATGATCTTCCGCCATTTTTCTAGTAGCTTACGAGTACTATCGGGATAGAAACTCGGTGGTTTTGAATCAACTATACGAATCCATTAGAAAAGAATGCATTTCTACACCTAATAAATACATTTTTACTTTTTATTCAACGTAACATTATTAATCAAAGTGTGTATTACTTGAACCATCGAATTACTATGCTCTTCGTGAAGTATTGGATTTCTGGATTTTACAAAACCAGAGAACGCATTTTGTATCACCTCTTGATTTTGAAATGCTTTATCGTTCAAAAAGATGATGGAATGTGATAACGAGTAGAAAAGAGATATGGTGAATGTGGTGGATGAGATAAAATTTTATATCGTAATTCATGGAGCACTTTGAACGCCATTTATGAAACATGTGGTCGATATTATCGTGCAGAGAAATGGGGCTTGTTTACCATTGCCATATATTTTTTCTTCAATTTTTCATGAAAAGTAGTCGATCCTTGACTGCGCAATTCTGCAGTAGTTGATTCTGTTTACTTTGCAAAATTGGAAAAATTATGAAATATATCGTTTTCTGACGATCTAAATTCGGGTTTGGGTAAAAAACTGGCTGGTTCATTAGCATCTAATCATTAAACAGATCGTCCGCTATTATATAGAATTCATTTTTCATCATATAGTATAAAACGATTGAAAACTAGTGCGTTGAATAGTGAATTACCTTCGGTTCCGCTGATTCCACGAGGGTCTAACTTTTGGGGTTTTTTTCACTTTGCCAATTCCTTCTTTTTCCAAGCAGGGATTTCGATTTTGTATTACGACATTCAGTACTCTGTTCTTTATTTAGGTAATATTATATTATTTAGGTAATATAATTTAGGTTCTTTATAAGGTAAGACTGCCTTTTACGCAGAAACTGTCTCTAATGGTTCACTTTGAACATCGATTTTGAAGATCGTCGACACATTTTATCTCCTTATATCATTGTACTCACCTTTTAACACTAAAACTACCGACCGGGTCAAAATGACCCATTAGCGACTTTCCAAAAGTGAATTTTTATGTAAGTAAAACGTGATTGGAAAATTCGATTCATACCGATACAAATGGAAGCGTACATGTAGAATATAAATTCGGAAAGTTACAAGCGATAATACTTACCAGTATAGAACATTCACGTTTTTTCGAAAGATGCTAATGGGTCATTTTGACCCAGTCGGTAGGTTTAGTGTTAATAGAGTCTTTGTGATTTATACAAACAGTTGTATTAGGTTGCAACATGTGAAATGTCTGATTTTAAACCACAGCTTTAACCTTTTCGCTACGGCGCGCTTGTAACAAAATATGATCGCTATGAACGGAGCGCATTACTGATTAGTCGACACTGAGGTACGGAATGCTACGAAGTAATTACAAGTCGTTTCTTGTTCTCTAAATTTTACAATGAAGTTTATTATATTTAGTAATATCATTTTATTTTCTAAAATATAAAAATTTATAATTATAACTTATTTTTTAAAATATTACATTATAATGTTCATATAATATTTCTTATTACAATATAACAAAATTACTAAAGTATTTAAAGGCGATCACATAATTAATAATCAACTTTGGTATGATAAAGTTCAAAACGTGGAGCCACACATAAACCAACATCACATTGTGAACAATAGTATCTGGACTCACGTCTTTTTCCTTGTTTACTGCAGATGACACATTTTCGAACTTGATTTTTCTTTTTTGCCGCCTTATTCGAATATACAGACGGAAAATGTCAAAAGTATATATGGTATGAACGTATATATACGCTCTTCGTATATGAATGTTCATTCTTCGAGGGCGTATATATACGCCCTTCGGAGCGAAAGGGTTAAATCATCGTAACTTGTTTTATACAGTGGAGTCTCGGTTATCCGAGTCCCGTTCAACCGAGATTCCGTATTGTCCGAGGTGGTTTGAACTTAAGTAAAATGAAAAAATGACATTATTTTTTAGGGTCGATGGGTGTTCATAAATCGTGCAATAAAATCATAAAAAACATTTTCATGTTAACTATTTAGTAAATAGTTAATTGAACTTAAATACATGTACAATATTATTATTTAATTGATAAACAGTTAATTAAACCTAAATACATGTACAATTTTACATATGAACACCCTTTGATCCTTCCCTCTTATCCGAGTTTTCGATTATTCAAGGTAGGCTCGATCCACGTCACCTCGGATAATCGAAACTCTACTGTATTATATTTTATTAATCAAAATAGGAACCATTACAATCGACACATTTCTGCAAACGAGTGACAAGTTTTTTAAATCCATTTTCATAGAATGTCGGTGTTCTGGTATCGGTAGATTCTTTGACGGTATTTCCTACGTTATTTGCTTGATTCGCGAAGGTTTTCCCGCTGCGAAAATCATCTAGTAGATGATCTAAAAAATGATAAATCGTATTTTCGATCCTCTTCGATTGATCAATGCCGGTTATTTAATTCGTCATTTCTGGTGCAATACTTCTCCGCGGTGATAGCTTCACCTGGTTTTAGGAAGTTCAATTAGGAAATTTCAACCACTTTTCCACTCGTACAGAAAATAATGCGAAAATCGTGCTAATTCATGATTTGCAGAAACCTAAAAAACATGCATTTAAATACGAGAATGTTGAAAGATTAAAACCATGAAAGAAAGAGGCGATTCTAAGCATTTAAATGACGTACAATACATCTACGAAGATGAACATATTTATCGGTAGAAAAAGTTTAGAAAATTGGAATAACAAAATCGGAGATTTCATATGTTACAATCTAATATTTACAAACATCATTTTTGCTTCTCTTCGTTATGAACACAAAAGGATTCCTCCAAACCGCCCAATGAATATTACACTTACAGTGACACCCGCTAATATTCCGACACTCTTTAAAACAGTATAACTTTTTTTAAATTGAACTTAACGACGTGTAGAACAAATTTTGAAAAGATTGCAGTTTGTGGGAATCGCGGAGAAAATTGTAAAGGTCACTGTTTACAACTTTTTTATCTGAGCACGTAATGAAAATTTAAAAAAAAATACGTTTTGTAGGTCTATGTCAATTATGTACATGCTGAAAATTTCATCGAAATCGGTTAACGTTGCGATGAAAAACGCACTATTTCACAACTTACGGCCTGTAACTGTAATAAATCTGAAGATTCTTACATCTTTCGATGCCTGTCGCTTGCTTCTCCATCGACCGATTTCGATGGAATTTTTAGTATGTGTATAATTGACATAAATTTTCATTACAAGCTCAGATAAAAAAGTTGTATACAGTGACCTTTACAAGTCATCTACTCTTCGTTCAAAATAAGAATAACCTCGTTTCGCCCATGGGACGTGCCTAAGGCAGGGCTAGAACCACTATACATCGTTCAAAATAAGAGTAACCTCGTTTCGCGCATGGGACGTGCCTAAGGCAGGGCTAGAACCACTATACATCGTTCAAAATAAGAGTAACCTCGTTTCGCGCATGGGACGTGCCTAAGGCAGGGCTAGAACCACTATACATCGTTCAAAATAAGAGTAACCTCGTTTCGCGCATGGGACGTGCCTAAGGCAGGGCTAGAACCACTATACATCGTTCAAAATAAGAGTAACCTCGCTTCGCGCATGGAACGTGCCTAAGGCAGGGCTAGAACCACTATACATCGTTCAAAATAAAAGTAACCTCGTTTCGCCCATGGGACGTGCCTAAGGCAGGGCTAGAACCACTATACATCGTTCAAAATAAGAATAACCTCGTTTCGCGCATTGGACGTGCCTAAGGCAGTGCTGGAACGTTCAAACCCCCACTTAACCGCCTACGTTTTTCTCCGCCTTACCCTCTGCTACGCTCTCTGTCTATGCGCAGAACGGACGAAAATCGGTCCGAGAGCGAGGTTATTCTTATTTTGAACGAAGTGTAGTATACTAATCCTTCTAACTTCTAAAAAAAAACTCAAGTAATTTGGTCCAATTTTGAAAAAGTTATACCATTCTAAATAGTGTCCGATTATTAGCGGGAGTAACTGTATATTGAGAAGATCCGTATTTAATAATCCTAAATGAAACGCGTATTGAGAAAGAACGTACATTTTCAGCTTATCACGTTCTTTCTCGTGTTACGCGTCGTTTCTTGTAAATATCGCAGGTATATATCGCTGTTGCGTGACCACGTCCCTAAGCTAATAGAATATCCGTTGAATATTCACAATGCGAAAGAATTCCATTGTTTCCCGATTTCAGCGACTAGAGAGGGTCATATTGTGTTTCGTCCGTTGAACGAAAATCCTCTTTTCCAGATGAGATGCTGGAATGCGAGACCGGATCCCTGTTGGGCCGCGTCGCGGACCTGGAGAGGCAATCCTTGGCCCAAAGGGACGAGATAGTATGTCTTCGCGCTACACTCGCGGACGCATTGAGGCGAATTGCCCAACTAGAGGGGCGCGAGAAAAGAGAAGATGAGAAAAGCGAGAGAAGGAACGAGAGATTGGTATCCTCGCCGTTAAGGAATGGACACGTACCACTTAGAAGTGAGTATGCACGACTGCCTCTTCTATCTTTGTTTCGATAATTTTGCCGGTTAGAGAAAATTTCGATCGATCGAAATTTCAGAGCGTAGGATCATCTAGCTTTCAAATTCTACCCACACTCGTGTCACATTTATTACGTTCGTTAAGAAATTTCTATCAAAACTCTTGCATGATAAATTAGAATTAGTCTAACAACACATACAGTACAGTAGAGTCTCCCCCGTATCTGTATTGACCCTTTGCACTCCGAATTTTTTTTTTTTTCATTTTCTTTCCAATAACTCCGTATTATTTTAAATGGTTTATTTAAAATGTACTTCAAAGGACAATTGGTTGATAGGAAGCAATGTAAACAATAGCTTCATCACACGTATATGACACTTTTCTGTAACAATTGGACTTTTTTGTTAGAAGAAAGGGTTGTTACGTCCGTAACCTCCAAGCCTAGCGAACCTCTCTTGTCTTCGGGGAAACCATAGAAATCCTACAACGATCACACACTCTGTATTCACCAAAATTCCTTCGAGCAGTTACAGCGAAAAGCTACTCAAGGGTAGTGCAATAAATCAGACAAGAACCGGGCGCGTCACTCGAGACTATGCGAGGCACCGAGAGCCCGACGCTCGAGGATGCCCGTGGGTCGGAGTGCCACGCGTCTGGTTCATGTCTTCGACATCCTTCGAAGGTAAACTCCTTGAATGGACTGACCGAAACCGGGGGCCCTGAGGTACGAAAGGTGCGTAACAGGGTCATATACGTGTGATGTTGCTTTTCTAAGTATAAAAAAAATATTGTGAAATATAATACATATTTAAGCTTGCAATTTAAAAATGTCGGGTGCGACTGGACATAGGAGTACCTGTGAATAAAATCTAAACTTGGGTAGGCTCGCTGTACTGTCCGGAAAATTGCCAAACTATCTATCCTCGTCTCAATCTTTCCTCCTCTAACCCATTTCCACCATCCCGAGGACAGGAGAGGGAAGCAGCTTAAACAAACCAACGCGCTTCCAGCGCGGACACTCAGTTGTATATCCTAGCATCAAGGAACGCCTCTGTACAGAAACCGATACCATAAGTTTTAAAACATAAATAACTGTGTAGAGTTACATCCTTTTTGTTCGGCCGAATACAGGAAAGTGTGCGTAAGATTGTATGTAAATATCGCTACGAAACGGCTGTTCGGATAACAGAACGTTCAGATAGTAGGGTATTCGGGTAATAGGAGTGCGGATATGGGAGGCTCTACTGTATAATGCAATTGGGAAATGTATAAGCACGTACTGTTTTTCAACCAAGCCTAGCGAACCTCTCTTGTCTTCGAGGAAACCATAGAACTCCTACAATGGTCACACACTCTGCATTCACCAAAATTCCTTCGGGCAGTTACAGCGAAAAGCCACTCAAGAGTAGTGCAATAAATCGAGGATGCTCGTGGGTCGGAGTGTCACGCGTCTGGTTCGTGTCTTCGACATCCTTCGATGCCCCAAAAAAGGGGCAATTGTCTAAACTTGGGTAGGCTCGCTGTACTGTCCGGAAAATTGCCAAACTATCTATCCTCGTCTCAATCTTTCCTCCTCTAACCCATTTCCACCACCCCGAGGACAGGAGAGGGAAGCAGCTTAAACAAACCAACGCGCTTCCAGCGCGGACACTCAGTTGTATATCCTAGCATCAAGGAACGCCTCTGTACAGAAACCGATAGTCAATAAACTTGTGTGAATTAAATCCTGCGGTAGTCACTGTCGCCGCCCCTATCCCAGGTAAACTCCTTGAATGGACTGACCGAAACCGGGGGCCCTGAAAATACTTCCTGACCTTGAAAATACCGAAAAAAATGGAATAAAAAAAAATAATAGTACGATGGCGATGTGCATTCTTCGAAACTACTCTAACTCTGATGTAACCATATTTCATATCTTTAAATCCAACAAAGATATTCAGGTGTTCTGCTTCTCGTGACTCACCCTGCATGTACGTATTTTAAACTTCGAATTAATATACAATAAGAGCAAACTTTAAGAATAATTATTTCTTTATTTTGCAAAAAATATCATGAATTCTGATTCATCCGCATTTTGCGTTTGGGTATGTAATTGATGTACACGTGATAATCGATAAATCTTCTACAAGAAAAATGAACAAAAAGTTCTAATTTTTTAATATATTATGTAAACAAATGGACTTCTTTCGAAACTGTTTACGCAGCCACGTTAGTCGTTTAGAAATTGCAAATTTTGTCAATTTACACTATCGCTATCTCGTTATCTCTAATAGATTTCGAAATATTGGACTAAATATGTTTACTACCCCCGACCTTGAGGACGATTTTTACCCTTTCAGTGTGGATGATTACCGATAAAAAGAAAGAAACGTGTCGGATATTTCTTTGAGATCTACCACATACTGAAATTTCATCGAAATCGGTGATATTTCCTTGTAAGCACATTAGGTCTTACAAAAGGAACATAAGAAGTGCTATATAACATCTCCGATTTTGGTGAAACTTTATAAGTCGATAACATTCGATAGTTTCTGTTAATCTTTTGTTCGAAATATTAAGTAAATATAAGATCTAAAGTTTAAGTATTTAAAAATATGACGATTAGAAAAAATGGGAATACTATTTTTGAGCTGAATTTTATATGATGTTAGAGGTAGCATAATTCTGATATATGATTGAAATTCAAAGAATCATGTGTATTGACTATCGTTACTTTGAACGTAGCTATGATTTTAAATAACAACAAAAGTTCAAGACATCAGACATTGCAATGCTTCTTTTTAATATGAAGATACGTATGTATAAGTGGCAAAACTGGAGTATTAAATACTTGATAACTCTGCATCAATATTGTTAGCATTTAAGACGAAAATTATGAATTTATTCATTTCTTTTATCTTAGTTAACTATGGCGATAAGTAATTGGAGCAATATATAGCGACTCCCACTAATATTCGGACACTATTTAGAACATTATAATTTTTTTATAATTGGACCAAACGACTTGAGTTTTTTTTGAGAAGTTATGGTTCATTTGTGCATTCGTATTTCAAACCATATTTGATCGTTCCTTGCAAATACCTTAGAACGCGTTTTGCAGCGATCCAATGCACTTCATCGTAACAATGATTATATTGGCTCAATGAAGGTATGTCCCGTACAGGGTGTCCCGTAAAGAGTGTAACACCCGGAAATGGGGGGTTGCGGGGGTGACTCTGAACAACTTTTTCCTTTACCAAAATGTTGGTTGAAGCTTCGTTTTTGAATTATTAACGAAAAACACTGGCCAATCAGAGCGCGCGTAGAGCCCGCGCCCAGGCACGGGAGCGCAGGGACTGATCCGCGCGCGATCATGAACAAACGCAATGGCACAACGTGGGTATCGAGGGAAGCGTGCGGCAAATGTTACATCGTCTTAAATTAAGAATAATTTGAAATTATTCGTTATTTATGAATAACAAATAAACTAATGAGTCGTTTAACACGTTGAATGCCGGATCAATTCTACGTAATTTGTCCACGGTGCCGAAAAGAATTTTTTATTCTAATACGACGCATTGCAATATGTATAAATAATATGTCAATAGTTAGAAAGAAAACTATTTAAATATGCTGCGTGATGCATTAGGTGAAAATTTGACAAATACTACCATTTATTCAAATTAAATGCTTTTACTAATTTTGAGACCGCCGGTCACCGATCACCCCCACGGAATTCAACGTATTAATAACTGTTTTTGACACTTTTATTCGTTAGTCGAAAGGAATAAAGTGTTTTATTACTTATGAAAAACTTACCCATTCGTCTACGAATTAACCTGCTTCGACGGAAGTGGGTCATTGTGCCGATCCTGACCTTTCAAGGCAACCCTCAACAGCTGATGTTAGGGCCGGGTCGGTGAACTCACTTTACTGCACAGTCACTTTTACTGTTTTCGACGATATTATAAAAAATAAATCGTTGCTACATCGTAATCGCAAAATAGCCAAATTAGTATAATTTATGACACTGAGGTGGGTGAGGAAACGCCGTTACACTGTTTTCACCTCAATTTATTAAGATATACATAAGTGTGACGGTAGGTGTACAATTCGCCCGGAAAATACAATCGTTTTATGTGTTAACTGGCCCTGCGGGCAGCGGTTCGGCGGGTACGTCTCGACGGTTAGTAGAAGAAAAACTGAACTGAGGTTTTTATATTGGTAGGACAGGGAGACAGGAGCAGAGATAGATAAAGATAGAAGTAGAGAAAGTGGTGGAAACGGAAAATTTGTTTATTAAAATTTAGACCACGAAGATTTGCTCGATAGTTTAGATTACCCGTCATTCTTTGTTTAATCGATTTGCGTGAAATATATATTCACCAATTGTTTTTCACTTCGTATGGCGCGTCCTGGGCCTTTAACCTATTACCTTTATATTGATTCATCTACATAAAAGTACAATATATTCATTTCCAACAGTTTTTCCGACGAAACTCAGTGAATAATTGTGAATATCTTTCACTTCGTAATTCATAAAAAAGGCAGATTCCTTTTTAAGATTTTCGTTAAAAAATTTTTTTCTACATTTCAATCGTATTTTAGATTTAGATTTTTCTTCCTTTCTAGAGAAAACCTGTTAATAATATTATACAGTTTCGAAGGAAAAGTAAAAAGGTTTTAATACTCATCCAAATTCATGATAAACAGGGAAAAGACTATCTCTTCAGACATATGAGGGAAGAAGAATCGAAGGACCATCGTTACCAAGTCAGCTGCTAAAAGTGAACAATCAAATAGTATTGCCTCCAATTCCACAGTTAGAATATCTTGACACCGAAGAATACGCCGAGATCTGTATGAATCCAGATTTGGAGGAGGACTCCACTGACAGTGAGTGGGGGATGAATCAACTCAGAGGCAGAGCTGACCGAATTCGGTCACTGGGTGCTCAGATGGTAAGAAAGATTTGCTCTCGTGACTGTTCTCGTCCTTATGATTGTGGTTCTTCTTCC